ACTTTTGTGCTTTTCTTTATGGCAATAAAATTGAAAACAACTCCCCCCCCCTGCCGAAGGCCACTGGAGCATCTGCGATAATGTTAGGAATAGTGTTGAGGTGTGCATATGTGGTTGCGCTGTGTACGTGTAAGCATGCAGTGTGTAAATGTGTGTTACGTGCTTGTGAATAATAACGAAGTTTTGTTGTGTGCGTGGTGTGGAAAAAATACAATTTTTTTTTTCATATTTCAATTTCTTTGTTCTTATTGTAAGAATATTAATCCCTTAACTGCCTCCAGCGTACATATCCGTCTCACTCAACCGGTACGTTAAGTGCCCCGGACGCATGTGCACATCTTTCTGAAATACCTTTCTTTTCTTTGTTCTACCATCAGTAAAACTGTTTCAAAGGCTTTGAAATGCAAAAAGCAGCAGTGAAAACGTTTGTGAAGGATTTACTAATTTCAGAGAAAAATTTGCTTATTTGTACCTTTTCTTTTCTTTCCAATACACCGCATACACTCGCCTATGTGAAAAGCGGTGGAACTGGGCGGTGGGTGGGTGAATCTCGTAATTTTTAATCGACAATTAAAGGAATAACAATAATTTTAAACTATTATATTTGTACACAAATTGGATCTTCTTATTTTTGTATACAATGTCACTGATAAATTGATTTTATTATCTAATAAATGTAGTACATATAGATTTGAATAATCAACTTGTCTATAGTGAGTGAGTGTTTAATAATGTTACAATCTAAAGCAATACAGTAACTATTAGTGATGGACCTCGTAATTTTTAACCTCGGTCAAGTCACGAGAACGGCTCTTAAGTAAGGTCCCTTCCACTCTCCTAACTTCCCTATCACGCTATCGTGAGGATTTTGAATTACGACATATTTAACGCACATCATGTGGCCGAGGTAGCCAAGTGGTCTAGGCATCGGATCATGGCTAGCGTGTCATGAGTTCGGTCCCTGTACCACTGAAGACCCGCCGTGTAGGGAAGCGATGCACGTTAAATCTGTCGAGAGCTCAAATGTCCTCCCGTGGTGTGGTGTGGTAGTTAGGAGAGGGGGTACCAGTTCAGGTGTCGTCCGCGTCCCTTGACCATGGTACAAAATTACGCGGACAGTCGCCAAAAGCCCTCGTGTATCTGAACAGAGCAACGTAAATATTCACTCACTCAACGCACATAATCTTCTCTACATGACGAGTCTTTCAATTTGTCTACATGTATGGCGCTAAAATAGAAGAAACTTTTAGTATTTGTCTTTCACAAATGAATGTTAATCCTATTTACGTTTTTATCAAATCAAGCAAATTTAAGCATTTACTTATTTTTAACAACATTTATTAATATTGTAATAAAAGAAGAAACATTTTACAAAATTCGCATACAAAATTCATTTTTTCTTCTTTTTATAAATTAACTTTTTAATGTAAAAAAAAAAGAAATTTGTGTGTGTGAATACAGAAAAATTAAGGTATCCGAGTACCTTAAAACTGTTAATTTTTGCCAAAAATTGAAAAAAAAAATATGATTTTACTTTATGGGCCATGTTATTAGTTTTATAAAAATACCAAGTTTATTATTTTCCGTTCACTACAACAAACACTACAAGTGTTTTAGTAAAAGCAGATGCCATTACTTTAAGTATAAGATGTCATGCTTTAAAACGCGTTTTACTTGAAATATGTTTTTTTGAAAATGCTCAAATGGGGACAGCGATTTCTCAAAAAGTTTTGAAAATAATTAACTGAAATTTTTTGTGTATGTTCTGTATAATAGTAGAAGTGTTTTAATCTCAGCTTTATCAATCACTGTTTTATTACAAAATGTACAGTCCCTTATGTGAATATAATCACTGTTTTTTTTAAGCAATTTCATTTCATAACTAAGATAAAGTGCTCTAGTTTTTGTAAGAATCAAAATATCTCTTATCCTGATGGTCATCTAAAAAAATGAACAACATAGCAACACATCAAAATTAAAAATTGAAATTTTGTTCATAAACTTTTTGTACAGAATGGGCCGCGTTTATGTTGTTTTTTGCAAATTTTGACCCATTTCCCCCCCATTTTAGTAATAATAATTTCTTTTTATCATCTTAATTTTAGCATATTTTTGTGAAGATGTACTTAGAAAATCTTAAACCAAGAAAAAATCTCTCCCCATACCTCCATTTCTTAAAAAAAAAGTTGTTTCAAGAAGTCGGATACCTTAAATAATATTTAGATAGGATACGTAGAAAATAATAAAACTTTTAATATATTACGCACTATATGTTGCGAGAATTCACAAGCAACAGAACCAGGAACTAATTTTGAAATTATGAATTCCACAGAAAGTATAATGAGACAGCTATATTGATAAATACGCGCGTGCGTGTCAAACCTCGTTTTGAGCCTCAGTTGAATAACGAGGATGACGCTTGAGCCTTCTGTTTTCCAAAGGATTAAACCACACTCTAAAGTGAGGATTCAGAATTTCAAAAAACTTTCTCCACGAACCTGTAGGCTCAAGAATTGATCACAAATATGTATAGCATTGAGACTACTCGAATTTGATTCAATATGTAGGTCTGAGAGCTCCATTTGTACGAAAATTAATCAATTCATTTGTACAAGAGAAATGAAAAGTATGTGTACTTCTTTTAAATACTATCAATCTATGTAAAGAAATCCATCAAGGGTTTAAAAGAATATCTACAGACTTGCAGGGTGTGTAGGAGATACAGAGACGATTCGGAATCACATTGGAATGTAGAGTCACAAATACTAAAGTGCACTATGGTTGCAAAGAAGCAGAAGCACATTAATGGGGCAGAACGTATTTTATTCAAAGGTTGTGCTACAACAGGTGTTCGAAATTACAACCAGAAAGCGTCTGATAGGACTGACAGCGACGCTGCATGGATTTCCTTACGTTCTGGAAGATTCCTTGCTTGTCACGTATCGTTCCGACAGCTACAGCTTCGAGCCGCTCATAGCATGAACTCAAGCTCGAAATGAACACAAATTGAATTGTTTCGACAACTAACAGTGGTACTGTTATTGATTCTATTTTTCAACGGTTTTTAAATACTTTGAAATCACAAGTATATGTGTCATATTTTAGTTATCATAAGTCTATTGTCTTTCCCAAATTGAACAAGAATAATTATTTTTGATAAAAAAAATTGCATTACTCCGTGTGTTAATTAACTCTCTGGCTGGAACATTAATTTTTTTGCCATTTGGTGGAACATCCGTCTGACAGACGGGTACGCTTTTGTTTTGAATTTATTACTTTAAGGACTATTTTAAATTTCCTTATCGCTCATGAAATTGAGTATGGCTCAAATGAGAAGATGTGTGGGGCTAAATCAAGCACAATTTTTTTCCAGTTTTTTCTTAAGACAATTTAATTAAAAACATGAAACATATAAACGAAAATACAATTTTTAGTATTTAAGTCTTTATGAGGTACACTATATTAATATATGTATCACTAGAATTGTGACTAGTATTTTTTATAAAAACTGATCAGAAATTATTTATATTCATGTAAAAATAACTAAAAATAATAATACAAAAAATGAAAAAACTCTAAGAATTCCGTCTGATAGACGGTGATAGAAAAGAAAATCGCACTTTTCGTGAGTTGAAAAAAATCGCCAAGAACCACCATGTGATCATCTCAATGGGTCCAACTGAAGATGTCAAGGCAGCCCACCCCCAAAATCACACCACAGCGTTATCTACAGGCATCAAAGCAAATCCTCCCCGTCTGAGAAACGGATGTTCCCCAGAGGGTTAAATAAAATGTTTCATTAAAGATATAATATTAATCGATAGAAAATTATTTCCAATCATACCCGATTCATTCCCCCCCCCCCCAGGATTTAAGTTACTATTGCGTATTTACCACGATAACATGTCAGATGTTACACATCCTATGCGACTACTGTAAGGCTCGTTTTTTTTTGTAATAGTTTCTGTTAGAAAAAATTGTATCTTATTTCAAATAACATCCTCTTTGTCCGGAACAGAAAAAAATATTTTTCTTATGAGAAACGAATTTCGTCGGACAGGAATAGGACAGGAAACTCCTTTCTTATCTCATTTCATTCCACAACGGAGGGGAATTGTTTTTATTTTTACCTAAAATTATAAAAGAATTTTCATCTTCAGGTAATTTTTCTGCATTATCATTAGATACATTTATATTCAGATTTACTGTTCTATAATTTACTTCACTATTCTCTTTACTGAAAGAGATCTTTTTCGTAAAAATAATCTTAATCCTTACTTTTTTTTCTTCTCAGTGGCCCCGGTATCCAAGTGGTCATGGTCACTAACTAGTGGCTTGTGTTGTCGAGTCACAGGTTCGAAACCTTTTCCATTGAAGACTGTCCTTGTAAAGGGATTAATGTTCACTTTAAAAATGTCATGGTTTTGAGTCCTTTTGGTGGCGTGGTGTGCCAGCTGAGTTGAGGTTATCGTCATTTGACCTTTGTTCAAAATTTAAGTCCTCGTCAATAGCCCTCGCATTACTTTACAGTGTGAATTAAAGTCAAATAAATTCTCTTTCCCCTCATCAGATAATTTTTTAAAAAAGAATATGGAATAAGTTCCTTTTTTTAATTTTTGAAGCCTCTTTTTGAAAAATTGAGTATTATTTTTTTTCGTATATATACATAAATTAAAACAGTAACTAAATATAATGCAGATTTACATAATTACGAAAACCCTTCTAAAATTCTACAGGAAACAAGTAATATAAAAAAAATTAAGTCAATTCCTACTTAAATCAACGAAGAAAATTTTTATTTTAGTTACTTTTTATTAAATAGTTACAATTAATATAAGTATGTAGATACATCTGAGAGAATTACAATATTAAGTGGCAAAATAAAAAGCGATTTTTCTTTCTGTATAGGGTGTTGGACGTTATTTTTGTGTTTGTTACTATTTATTAATTAATTAAATTTAATTATTCCAATAAAACAGTACAGTAAATAGAAATCGATTCGAAATGGGATTCGAACCCACGACCTTTGTAATAGAAGTTTCAACACGCTACCCATTGCACTACAGGGACGCAACGAGCGATTTTCCTTTTTATACATGGTTTTGAACTATATTTTTGTTTTTTACTTGTTATTCATTAAGTAATGAATTAATATTTGAAAAAAGTGTAATATCATCAAGCGTATCCACTACAAGTTTAAAAACAATGTATTTGAATTTGAGCGGATGGATAAAAAGTATTTTGTTAACGATGGAAAATTTGAACAAGTATATGTGTAAATAAATACATATAAATAATATACATATATATAAATAAATATTTATATATATATATATATATATATAGGGAGAGCGTGAACTAATAGTAGGAATTGAAAAAGTGATTTGAAAGAGCGCGAATGCATGTTGTAAGTTTTTTGAACGAAGCATAACTAGATAAAAATAATGAAATAGCTGAAATTCAATCTTAAAAACCAGACAAATCCATTTCATCGTGAAAGGAGGGAGGGAACAAAATAGTGATAAATTTCAGACTGTGTTTAGGTGCCATATTAGAAAACTGTGTAAGAACTAGCATGATCATCGTAAAACTTGCGTATTCACGCCAGCTAAAAGGTAACATTGCGTAAAGAAATACGAAAAAGTTCTACCTTTTAGTTTGCTGTTACAGTTTATAAAAATTTATTTTTCTGTATTATTTATGTATTCAATAATCTTTATAAAGATTAGTTCAACGAGACTATTTATTCTTAATCTTGATATATTTTGAATAATTATATGAAATATCGAGAATAACTAAAATATCTGGAAAAAAAAATCTAAGTACAAAGTTTCTGTAAAATTTAGAAAAGGAAAGGAATTTATTAAATTTATAAGAAAAAAGTATTCAATAATAATTAAAAACTAAAAGTATGGAGAAATAAGAAGATAATTTATGCGAGATCAAAGCGAACGCCGTGTATTTTCGAGAATTAATTTTTATTTAATGTAAAAGTAAGGGAAAGTTAATTTTTTTTGCTAATTAAAGCAAAGAGGGATTCGGAATTATAAATTTCATTTAATTAAAAATGTTGATTAAATGAACAGAGAAAATTCAATTTAGCTATCTTCTGATTATTGAAAATATTTTCTGCATGAAAAAGTAAAAGAGGAAAATAAAATCTTATTCAATTTTATGAAATTAATTAATAACTGCTAATTTAAAAACGTTCCAGTACTTTCCACTTAAGTATTTTTGGTCTTCGTTTCATAAAAATAAGCTTTTAGCTTGAAATAAGTATAAAAATAGTGTATCGACTTTTGAAAAACTCTTAGATGTGTGTATGAATACTAATAATTTTTGATAGATTGCTGCATATACGTTTTACGCCTATTACAGAGAAATATATTAAAATATGAAATTTTTTCTTAAAACATTTTTTTAAAAAAATACCAACAATCTTAATTAACTTTTTCTTTCCTCTTTTCATTTATGTTGGGAGAATTTAATTAAAATACACAAGTACGGTTTCAATAAGCAATTTGTTAAGCTCAATGAGAATAACTTTTAAGGATTTTCTTTTACAAAATTAGGAATTTTGTTTAGCTTCCAGCACTAATTCTGAACACCATAATTAGAATTACTTTAAAAAAATGTAATACTAATGCTCTATTTTTGTTTACTCATTTCCCTTTTTTTGTATATAATGCTTTCTTTATTATTAATTCATTTACTGTAAATTATGATGGTAAACAATCCTTAGAATAGCAATAGAGAGGTAAATATCTTTTAAGAATTCATAACCGTAAATTCAAGCATATTCTTCTATACATAATCCCACACAAGTACAGTCAAATCTTAATATTTATGATTGTGTAAATAGAGTTTCAAAATTCAAATGTGACTTTGTATTCTTATTTCAGTCAGTTACTAAAGACCACTTAGATCAGAGGTTCCCAAACTTTTTTATCTCATAGACCCCTTGCCATGTTTTTCGGTTTTGGGTAGACCCCTACTTACTTAATAATACATTTTTGCAAATTTATCAACTGAAATGTCTTTTTGATATCTGATATACAGCTACACTTACTTTAAAATATTTAAATTTCTAAATGTAGTAAAGTACAGTGTTTAAAACCAAGACACACATGTTAATTAATTAAAATAAAATTTAATTTATACTTAAAATAACCGTTACATAAAGTAACTGAGAAATAAACAAATTCTTTCAATGGGAGAGATGAATCTGGTGCTCATCCATTCTGGTGCTTTTAAAACTGCTGATATCCGTTTCAAAATTTTACTTTTAGATCTTAGTGACTATTTCGATCAGTTACTCTTGTAATATGACATTTGTTTTTCTTACAATGTGACCTTATTAATTAATTTCTTACTGTAGTATTACCATATATATAATCAAATAATTCTCAAACCTAGTTTCAAAATTTGAATAAAGGGCTTTTAAATGTTGAACGTAGGTTAAACTGTTATTTCCCTGGCAGATTGTGTGTGACAAATAGAGAAACTAGAAAATTCGAGTCATTCCAATATAATACTCCTTAGCATAATTATGGCAAGAAACACCGAAATGAGGGTCCTTGTAACTGCAAATTAACTTCGATAAATTTAGTAAATAAATCTGTAAAACAGGTAAATCCGGTTTCCAACTGATTAAATTTTCTTTTAAAATTAAAGTCATGACCTGGTTTAATGAGAGTCACTATCGTAGACCCCCATTTACAACTCATGGACCCCCAAATTATTTTTTCGCTGCAAGCTGTCATAGATCCCTGGGGGGCTATATAGACCATTTTGGGAATCACTGACTTAGATGATACACAAATTTCAGTTGAGAGTAAAGTTGAGTAAGCATTAAAAGACAACATTATGCACTTATTTTAGTAGAAGAAACTGCTGCTGTGTGTTTTTTTTTGAAAATTAAAAAAAGATTATAATGTAAAATCCGCATGCACTTTTAACACAAAAAATAAGATCGAAATTTACGCGTGCACGTTATATGCCGGGTATAAAAATGACTGCTTTAAAGATAAAAGAAAAGAGATGAGCATAAAAAAAATTAGACTTTTACAAACATCGAAATACTGTTTACAGAAATAACATTCCTTATGAAGTTAAAGAGGTGTAGTTCTAGAAGTATACTATTTTTTTTAAAGTTCAGAAAACAATACCTCGAATAAATGACTTCAAAACATTAGAGCCTTACATACGTTCATTTCAGGTTTTTTCATAAAAAAGGGGTGCGCTCGTTATACGGCGAATGTACCTAAAAATTAAAAATGGCAGCTTGGAAGTATAGGTGCGCATTATACACCGCATTTTACGGTATCTTAGAAAAATATTAAAAAATTTTTTCATATTATTTTAGATTTTCTTCAAACAAGCAACAATTAAATTGATGTATATATTCACAATATTCAAATATTACACAAATATAAACAGCAGTTCAATTCTGTAGGTAACGGTAAATGAAATGCAAATTCACTGTCAAATTCTGACACTTCTATTGTAGGTTCCTTGCATTGTCTTTATATAAGCAGTGTGAAGCCAGTTTAGAAGTTTCTACTTCTATCTTATCCAACAATCATCCTAGATTCTTTTAGATTCGTCTCGAAGTACCAAGTTTTGAAAGGTGGAAATTTGACGACTTGACAACATTCTATGTCAAAATTTGTCGCCAAGGTCACTTCTACTTGTCTAGTTGTATTGGAAATAAATCTAGCTGATAGTCCTATGAAGGACTCGGAATCTTAATAATTGGATTAATAAATGAAAGAGTCCCCACCCCAAAGCATATTGGGCATAAACTATATTTAAATAAAAACTATATTGTGGAATAGTATCTACACATAGTATATTATGCAAAATGTTGATAATTTCTGCTCAAAATTTTAAACATGCATTTTTTGCCCACACAACTTCGTGTAACAAATAATACGTTTATTATTTTTTTTATTAAAAAAAGAGATGAAAAATAAAGCCAAGCGATTTTGAAAATTCTACTATAATTCCCAAGATTTTGCAAAGCTTCTATTCTTTCTATTATATATATATATAGCAGTAAATAATTCAAAAGAAGACTAATAAATCCCAAGAATCCTAAGATCAGACCGGAAGAACCAAGAACATGGAACCATGACAAACCAAAAAAGAGAAATGTAGCTAGAGGGGAAAACTATTATGATTTCTCGAGCTGTCACTGGTTTAGGACAGTGAAACAGGATTAAACAATGTTTGTGAGATCTCAACCTTCTCCTGCAGCAGAAATTTTTTCTACACAATAGCTCCAGTATAAATAAGGCAAAAGCCTAAAACCCACGTGGGTGAATATAACAGCAATAGAATAGAAATTGCAATATTAAATTACCATAGGAATCCGGAAGAAATAGACAAATATAATATGTATAAACAAAAATATTGCAAGAGAGGTTAATAATGAATATAACCATATATTAACAATAATGTAAATGAGCAAAGAAACTCTAATCTTACCCGATGTATACAGATTCCACAAATGTACTGACTCAATGCATAAAAAACACAGCAATACTAAGAATAAAGGCGCCATCTATATATATTTTTTAGTAACTACACTTAATATAAGCATATATTAAGAATATTATATACTATAGACTAAATATATTAAGAAATATAACAAGAAAATTATGTACTATATATAAATAGAAATGAATACTTAAAATAAAAATAATTAAATAGCTATAACTTTGATGACATATATTTATAAATAAAATTAGCTGGATAGTTATAGTCTAGGCAACTTTGAAAGAATTTTTTATAATTATTAATTCTCAATACTTCTTCAGATACTAAATCATTATTTCTTTTTATATAATTTAGAATGATATTTC